TTGAAGTCCACACTACCTTTAAAGTTGCCAAGTTTGAGAAACACTGATCTAGACAGACTGTGTTATATATAGAATAGCCAGGAAATAAATTCTGAAAGAGTAGAATACTTCTATCACATTTGCCATACAGTATTGTAAGCATGTGAAATGTTATGCCTACTACATAATTCTGAGTTGGGTGAGGTTGACAACTGCCAAATGACCTTCAGACTACACAATAGAATGGCCACAGCCAAATCACACAATACTGTATCTCTGGGTTTTCAGATCCCATGTCATAATATTTTTATTCCTACACTAGAGGTGCTTAAACTGTTTGGGTGGACCACTGTTGTGGATGATGTAGTAAAGATGCCTGCAGCGGTCAGGGAATTGACTTAAACGGGGTTCCTTCCAATCCTTACATCCTGTAATTCTAAGATTAAAGCTTATTTATTCCTAATCATTGTTTTTTTAATTCATGTTTATACATTTCATCATGAAACTTCATGCAAAGTCTTGTGACAGCACTGACCTCCTGGAAAAGTATCTAATCACTGGAATAGACCAAGCGATTGCGGCAGGGAGTTAAAAGTGTTTACTTCATAAGAGCAAAACAGACTTTATATTTCTTGAGTGGTAGAAAATAGTCATCTAAAATAGTAGGGCCTCGCAAGGAATGAATAAGTATTAAATTGGCTATGAAGGGCTCCACTGTGTGTGAAAATGGAAAGATTAAAAAGAAATCATAGGTATTAGAACACAATTTAACTGATCCTGAACATTTAGGGAGATAATCACTCTATTTCTGTTTTAATTTTGCACGATGATGGTAGTTTTTTGTGAATTATTTAGAATTCTTAATTTTTCATTGGATTTAGCTGTTATGTAGTGTAACTTTAATTATGTTTTGATTCTTTAACAGAAAAACTCCACATATGGGTTGAAGAACTGCTGCGTTTGTGTGATGACTGTAATAGGCAAGCACTTCAGAAAGCTTTGGAAGCACTTTCTGAATCAAAATATGCTGAGATGAATGCCAAGTCATGTCTACTTTTGATCAGTGTTAATGTTTGGTACCTTTTTTTTCTTTTGCAAACTGACTACAGAAATCAGGAACAGACCAATACACCAAACATTTTTTAGCTGAAACCATATCTCACAATCCTAGACAAGCACTCTACCTGTATGATCCGAAGTAAGACTCATCTGATATTTTCATACTTGCTGCTTCTCCTGCAAGGGATTCATATGTATCTTCTTTTAATGTTTAAAAATTAGTTTCTGACTGGTCATCTGCTGAGCAATCCCATCCATTCTTACTTGCTTTCACTTTCTTCCACCAGACTAGGATTATGATTTAATAATGCTTTTCCCCAGTATTATCTTTCACTTTGAGCCTGTGCTAGTGGAGAAATTTGGGATAGAAGTCCTTAAAACAAATACAGAAGTGCATACAGTTACATGTGAAAATGCTTTAAAAGCTTTTCAGTGCAGAAAGGCCACAGCAATCTAAAAACTTTTTATGCAGAACCCCATGGGGATAGACGCTTCACATGTAGCATGATTTGTGCATTCTTTACCACATTTACCTGGGACTTTTTTTTTTTTTTTAAGTAGGATGGGACTATTTAATTTTAAATATAATGGTCACAAAAGTCTATACAAATACAGATTTATTTAGAAATTTATTTTTAAAAAGCTACTGTAGTTTATTTTCTCATGCCATTCCATTTTTATAGTTTGTTTCTTACACTGATTAATGTGCCCGTAATAATTACAGCTATACAGGAAGAAATATTCCTATCTGGTGTTATCACAGGAACATGTATTCAAAGTATGAAATGAGGTTCGTTTTTAAACAAAATCTAATTGTGTAGTTAAAAATTGTAAAGCTGTGCCTGTTACTATGAATTATTAAGACTAATTAAGCTCTTGTTATAGATAGAAAGAACCTTAAGTTTTTTTTAAAGAAAAATCTATAGACTATTTAAATTGCAAAAATCTATAGACTATTTAAATTTTTTATTCAATCCTGGTGTTTTTCATTATTTGCATTCAAATTAAATCAAATATAAGTACTTTAATTGAGCTAAAGAAAGTAGCTTTACTCTAGCACTTTACTGTAACACTGTAGGTTGATCAAAGCATATTGACTTTAAATTTTATAATTATGTGTAATACTACAGAAATAAATGTGTACCTTATTTATTTATTCCAGCTGTTCATGAAACAGCTTGGATACTAACAACTGTGAGCAGAGTTCTGTTTGCAAAATGGATCTCTCACCCTGTCTTCTCCCTGCTGCTACCCTGTGAGAGCTTCTGAAACCACAGACTGTGATACTATGAGAAATCACCAAAGATCTCCTTTTCAAGAGCAAATGTCACTATTTAGATTCCACACTGTTCTCTTTTGTGTTTTCTTTAGATAATAAATCTGGTAAAATACTTTAGGTGTAGTAAATGGAAGAGAATTCAGGTAACTGACATGCAACATAAAATAGCTTTTTAAACTGTTGCTACTTATGTTTAGTTTGTTATAACTGCAAAAGGAATGCAATATCTGTAGAAATATTTAGTATATTCAGTCACAAAATGTTATGAAGTTTTTTTTAATCTATCACATTTATCTCTCTCAAAGCTTTCTATAATCAAAAATATTATAAATGTAACTTCCATTAATTTATACCACTAGCTCTTTTAGGCTACAGCTCTAAAGTTGACCTTTGAGTTAGAAATCCAAGTTCTTTTGAAGTTTGTTCTTTACACTTTTAGCATGGTAGGGCAGAGCTGGGAGGCACGATCCCTCCACTAAATCCGTAGCCTCCTTGCTTCCATCAGCCCTGAAACTGGAAGGGGTGGAGAGAGATGGTAATAATTTTCTTCCCTCATTTCTGTCCTTTTGCAGTAATTTAATAGGGTTTCAGCTTATATCAAAGACTGAGCTATTACAGTTTCCCAAAATAGCAAAATAGGATTGTCCTGGTGATAAGTCATGTGCATAAAATTATTGAAAATTGCAATAATATTATTTTCTTCTTTAAAAGAAACAGTTGCTATTTTCTAATAGCTCCTGGATAGATAAATGTAGTACAATTTTGTTTTCATTTGTTTTCTAAGGATTCGTTCAGATGCTTACTAGCACCTGGCAGAGCATGTCCACATTTCCACCAATGTTGGTTCCAATTAAATGAATAGATGTATAAATAAGCAGAGTTGAATCACATTGCCCCCTCCTGTACTGCCAGTTTTTGAAGGATGCTATGAATGTATGAACCAATGTAACGGAGTAGCACTGGATTTATATATTATCTTATACATATAGCAGAAGTCAGTTACTTATGCCATTATAAATGTTTTAATCTTACATAGATATCTCATTATTTCACTAAAATAGAAACAGTAATCATGGACTGGAGGTTTGTATCGGCCTTGGTCTAAACATGTTGCCATGTGAATAGGGAATGCTTCTGCAGCTCCTCTATCTCTTAAAAATGGCTTGTAAGATAGGGGACCTGGAGTTTCAGCTTTTCAGACTGCACAGAAAAATACGAAAAAGATAAATTAATGGTAATCTTCTACAGGAAAAAGGGTGTCTTCCACTTCTACTTACAAGGAACCTCTTCTGAATTAAGTTTTAAATTAAATTAAATTGAGTTAATTGAAATCAATGGAATTAGATGATACATAACTAAGTTTGTAGTATCATACTCAACTAACCAAAACAGTTCCTAAAATGCATACACTGAAAACATAAAAACTGAGTCAGTCTTAAAGTAACGACTTTTAGGAACAACAAGATAGAAGATGATCTAGGACAAAGTAGATACTGGTCCATATGTCAAATGGAGGGGAGATATTGCCATGCTTTTAGAAATAAGACCACTGTGAATAAACAACAGAATAAAAAAATATTTGAATTTTTATACAAAATGTGCATTTTTACATGGCTGCTATTAAAACCGAATGAAGTGCAAGATTAATTCAGATACTGTTTTCATTAGAATAATTCCTATCTATATTATTTTATATAAGAATAGAATAAGTAAACTTATTGTATGTTTGATTATTTAGAGAAAGGATATGGTAGATAGGTATGAAATATGAAACATGCTAAAGGTTGATCGCTGAATTTGAGTACAGCAGTATATAATGTATGTAAAGCATGTGTGAGAATAAACAATTAGAGGACAATTCAACACTGAGCAGTGAATAATAGAAGGAAATGTAGTGTCCCTTTGGTTGTTTAGCATAAACATACAAGGAATGCTTGCAGTGATGTTAGAGGTGTGTTGGATGTGAATGTGTATGTTTTTATGCCAATGACACCATGTTATTGGCCGAGAACTTGAATGATTTTCAGAGAATGACAGATTTGTAACACAGTGAGAAGTACAGATGTGAAAATTAATATATCAAAGCATAAGGTAGTTGTAGCTGACGTGGAGAATGGAGGGAATAAAAATGGAAATAAATGGCAAAAAGTAGAGCAAGTGTATGAATTTGTGCACCTTGGCAGAATGTTTAATAAACATGGGGAAATGGATGGAAACTTTTTAAGACATGTCAGTGCTCATAGAAAGATAGTAGATAGTGTCTGATTTGTTACAAGATATGTTTGTTGAAAGAAGTAAAAATGGGTGGGAAAATAGTGTGCTTTTGCCTACTTCCTTATATGGAAATGAGATGTGTATGTCCAGAGAAACATAGAAGTTGATGCTGTGTGAATGGGGTACTTAAGTATATGTGTAAAACAGGAAGAGATAGGGTCAAAAGTAAATGGGCACTGAATGTGAACTGAATACAAAAAGTGAATGACCAATATGAAAGAAACATATTGAGATGGTTTGGTCGTATAGAAAGAATGAATAACAATCAAATTGCAAAACAAATATGTAAAGATACAGTGAATGGGTCAAAAGAAAGGGGAAGACTGAGAATGTTATGGTTGAATAGAGTGGATAACATCCGTACAAAGAGATGAAGAGTTAACAAAACAATGTGGCAGTATAGGAAACAAGGACTAATAATATCTTCTTAAGAGTAACTACAGTAATAAGAATATTATTTATTTGTTCAACTGAACAGTCAAAACAGCATAAAAAAGAATACAAGCATTAAAAACAAATCAATTGAAGCATAAACAATAAAAATTATGTTTAAAGAAGTAGTTTAAAACTATGGTGTGCACTGATTTTATAAATATGGAGAGCAAGGGCCAAATAAACTCCCAAGGAGTACGTATTATCATATGGGGTGGATGTACAAGACAGTCTTCTTCCATATGTCCAATAAAACAGACAAAAGAGTATCTTTAGAAGGGTTTCTTATGCAGGACTTACAGACTTTCTTCATTAGTTATCACCAGAATAGACCAGCAACCCCAATTTGGGCCCTGTCCTCATGATTTTGGCTTTATCTTGTCCCCAAGTCATGATTTATGTTCTCTTTCCTGCTTCTTTCCTTGCTGGAAAAAACCACCAGCTACAAAATACAGTAAACTGTACAGGTGAAACTAGAAAAATTAGAATATCGTGCAAATGTTCATTTATTTCAGTAAGGCAACTCAAAAGGTGAAA